TGATAGTGATGAGGAAGAGGAGGGTGGTGATAGTGATGAGGAGGAGGAGTGGGATCATGGTGGTGATGAGGATGAAGATGTTCAGCTGAAAAGTAACCGTGTAATTGTTTCCTCATCTCTTTAATCAAGTAGAACTTTGAGGTACTTGTACTTGACTGGAGTATTTCTCTCTGTGTACTTGATTGGATGTGTTTGGTCTCGTCAGTACTGAGCAGCACGAACTGTTCAGGTGGAAGCAGCAGCTCGATGAAACCGTTGGTTGAGGGACGTGAAACCGAAAGTTTCCTCTGTACTGGATGGTACTGTGTTACTGAGCCACATGAAGTATAATAATACTTCAGCACACATGTTTTTATACTGTGTGCTGATCAGTCACTGCCTCGTTTCTGTCGTTTCCCTGTTTGAGTTTCCGGCTGCGTCGTTCCAGAGATAAGAAAAGAGGAAACACATTTTCTTTTCTCATGTTTTTGTTCCTCCCTGATTCTGGCTCCACCTGAGACATCTGAACTTTAAACACTGTGATCGGACTCATCACTCTGGTTTGTTCAAAGATTTAAAGCCTTTATTCTTTATTCTAACTATTGTAAAAGAGTGAAGTTTCATGTTGAAGTGAAAAGACGTGTCTCTGTTTGATTTGACATCAGCTGATATGTTAATTATTTCAACAGCTTGTGCTAATGCTAATGGTTGTTTTAATAAGTAAACCTGAATCCTCGTCCATCGCACTGGATACACACATTGTCACGTCAGCTCTATGACAGATCTCTTTGTCTAACAGTGTTAATATGTCGTAGAAGGTGTCTTTTCTGAGTGTTCTTGTCCTCTGAAGGGTAATCACATGACTTCCTGTCCCCACAGGTCAGAGGTTCTGATTGGAGCCCCTCGGGCCAACACAACGGCCTCCAGCAGCGTCGTGGAGAGAGGAGCGGTGTACAGCTGCCCCTGGAAAGGCTCTGCAGCCTGCCAGGAGATGCCGTTTGACAGCTCAGGTATGAAAAAGTCCTGATTTATCTTTCACATCAGCTCAGGTTTGATGACGTGCTCAGACTAGAACAGCTCTGACTCATGAAGAGGGGGGCCAAAACCAACCCTCACTCCAAAGCCTCATTGAAAACAACCTGCAGGTTTTCTTCAGAGTTTAATCCTCAGAAGTGTCTGAAGCACATTGAGACGAAGAAAACATCTGATAGCCTCAACATTTGGAATCAGTGTCTTCTTACTAAACGTACAGGCTGTTGCACCATAGTTGGTTTTCAATGTTTTCTATGTATCTGTTCACATTATCTTGTAAAATGTGGCCAGTATCCACTGATGGAGTCTGATGTGACCTGTGTGCTGATGACAACAACACGTCACAGGCGGCACGTCGTGTGCAGAGGTTGCTGTGTGAACGTAGTCTTGGTCATCAGGAACATCGTCTGGGTCTGAATCTTCTGTGTTGTTTTCATCAATGAAACTAGGCTGTAATCTGCTTCAATATCAGCCCCCCCACTCAGATGAAGGCTGAGAGCGCCATCAAACAAACTACATCTCCCATGGTGCACTGTGGCTGTTCTATAAGTATTTCAGCAAATCATGATGCGTTTCTTCAATCTTGAAAGTGATGACAACTTATAAATCGCACACACACAGTAATTGAAGTGCAGCAAGTAAAGATTCAGTCCAGAAGCTGAAGTAAAGACCTGTTTATTCAAAGTTCAGTCCAGCTCCACTTTAATGAACACGCTTGTTGTCCTGAAGGACAATGTCAAACTGTGATGAGTCCTGTTTAATCAAAGTCGATCTAAATCTCACTTAATTCAACACCTAACTTTACTGCGAAGCCGATAAGTTGAACGGTTCTTGAGACGTTAGTTCCACAGACAGACGCACAGTTCTCTGGAATTAGTAGATAGATGACACCTACTCTTAAAAAGGGCTGCGTTATGAAAGCTGTGGCTTATGTCTTTCCTCTGAAGCTTTGGCTGCAGTGTTTCACCAGAGCAGAAGACGAGTGTTGAAATAAAACCTTTCGAACACCGTCCACACCCAGTGAGACACTGATAAACCAGCAGTGACTGGCTTTGTTTACACCTGAAGGTCCATGTTTCTGCTCATTCTGTGAAGTCTTTCACTGACGCTGCTGCTCTGCACTTTATATTATATATGACACTTTTCTTTATTTATAGCAGAGCTTTTACTATGACAAGAAAACCTCATGCAACAGATGTCAACAGCTGGTCTGAGAGCAGTTGTGGTTGTACGGTGACGCTGCTGTTTATCTTTATGACTGTTTTTTAAAGGCTGGACACATCTGACCTCATCTGTCCATAAACATGTGAACTGTATGAGGGTTTTGTACAGACTGCCTGACCGCCTCTGTCTTTGTACACTCAATTCATTTGATAGAATCAAGATCTGCTGGTTCACAGTTCACATCTCCTGCTGTGGGACGTTTTAACTGAGAGACACTTATTCAGACTCTTGTTTCTTGTCAGACAGGAAACAGACGGAAACTATGAAAATATCAGGAAACATACAAAAATAAAAAATGCGGTTGGTACTTCAGCTGATGAGAGGCCCCCTCCGATGTTTCAAATCTCCAGTGAAACAGACGTTAGAAGTTTGATTCCTCATATTGATGTGAGTCTAGTAGACGGACCAACTGTGGTGGATGTTTATTAGTTGTATGCAGCAGACTGTGTGTGAGAGTTTCTTCCTGTTAAGACTTTGTGTTCAGATCACGTTTGTGAGAGTCTCCAAGAACTGAAATGTTTTCATGTCCCCAGAAGTTACCTGATAAAACCGATGAACCCCTGAACTCTGCAGGAGACATGTTCCTCCCGTGTTGAAGTTGGTATTTTCACTTCAGCTAAAAGGTTCTTTAAGTCAATGAACCACAATAAATAATAAAGGACTGACCTTCTGTTATCAATTAAAAAATACTAAAATCTAAAATATGTTTCCATCAATAGAAACATAAAACATGTTGATCCTTAAGATCTTAAATATAGAAACAAGAAACTAACATCTCCTGCCATTCAGTTTTTTAAACATGTTTTTCACAGCATGTAATGAAAAGTAATGACTTCGTAACAAGCTACAACATGATGAGGTAGAAGACAGAGTCCTGGACTTTCTGCTGCAAAAAGAATTCAAGTTTCATTTCTTACAGTTTTCATCTAAGATTGATTTAAACAGGATCATGAGAACAAGTGAGGGACGTCCATTAAACAATAAAAACCATGATTATCTTCAGTCTGAGTGAGCGAAGCATAGGAATAACAGATAATCTGCACACACACAGGACACATTCCTGAATGTGTCCAGACATGAGCCTCGTTATTAGCGTTGACGTGGTCTTTTACTGGAAGAGAAAGAAAGTTCCCATTAGTTTGTCCTCTAAAGCAGCCGTGTAGTGTGTATGAGGATCCTGTCTCCACCTCGGAACACTGGACATGTTCCTGACAGGTTGCTCACATGTTCCTCACATGATCTGCAGGTTCTGTATGTGAAAACAAATGTCTGAGTCAGTGTCTCTGGAACTTTTCCTGCAGCCTCCTAGTGAATTATTTGGTGTGTGTGTGTGTGTGTGTGTGTG